GGGGCGGCCCTCCGCCACGGGGACAAACTGTGCACGTCTGCGGTCCCGGCGGAGGGAGGCACCCGGCCAATCGGCTCGCAGAGACATTTCCTGTGCTTGTTTTATCAGATGAGGAGAAGCCTAAAGGCTAAACGTCTCCTCTCGGCGAGGTTGCACGCTGCTCAGGATAGCCCGGTTTGGGGAGCGGAGGGGAGAACATGCATCTTTGTGGGATGACATCAGAAGTGCTGCTCAGGAGCGCTGACCTCACTCTCGCACCATCAATCATACACAAAAAACCCGGAGAAACGCCGACCGCTGGGGGGGGGCTCTACCTTCACCACACAAAGCAAAGGCTGCCTCCTGAATTAAATTACCTCCTTGTAAAAACAGAAAAAACAGATTTGGCGATAGCTGCAGGAATACAGTCGTGTTTTTTGGGTCATCTGGGAGGGAGCAGATGGAAGCCCAACAGGCCGATCACCCATTAGGCAATCGGCTCTCTAGCCATCGCACTTTAATGTCAGAAAATGAAGCGAGCGAGGGCTTTATCTGGCAAACATTCTTTATCAGAGTGACTAAAGCCCAGAGGAATTCAAACACCGGCCGTTTGAGGCCTCCTGACTGAGTCCGACAGCAGAATCGAAGTTTTCAGAGTAAAGATAAAGTTCCTGGAAGAGGGGGCGGGTGGTGAGATTCACCGTGGATGCACAGTGGATTGAATATGAGGTTTGCCTATTCACTTATTTTTTCCAGAAGTGGCTTCACTTGGTGGGGAATTTCTAATATGCCGGGGAGACCATCACCCAAGAGACACCCAAAGGAACTCGACACTGAGGTGGATTACATGTATCCAACATCGAACTCTAACCAACCAACCGCACACAGTGGATGCGAGTAAACACACAGCGGCGTTAGACGATCACTGCCTCCAACATCTAACTTCAATCAGGGAGAAATATTGGAATGGAAAAGGAGATTGAGGGGAAAAACTCAGCCGGCGTACAGTAACTGGAAGCCTCCACCGCAGCGTGCAGCCCGGAGCCAGACTCCGGAAACGCATGGCAGTGTTCCCTACATCCTGCCCGCCCAGCCCCGGCCCCGGCCGCTCTCCCTCTGCCAGAGCCCTGTTATCACTCCACGCAATTACCTCCAGATTCCTCCGCGCTCGTATCATATCATGCCAATTATACAAACCCCCCCGACTACTAAGCCCTGCATGCATTTCAGCCCTGATGTGAGACGGGCCAGTGGTGTCCATGACCAGGGAGCTGTCCCCAGCAGAGGACCTGCAGCTAAGATAGTTACAAGGGAGCACTTTGGAAAATAAAGACGAATTTTGCAGAAATTTGGGAGAAATTTAGGAAAAATGAAAATTTCCCCGTGTGTATACGTCATACGTCATGTGTGTAAAAAGCCCAAAAAAGAACGATTTAAGTAAAACATGGGCATTTGAAAAGGATGATGGGTAAATATCTGACCAGTCCGGGCATTCACACGTGACATTAGTTGGCAAAAAAAAGCAAACGGCTCTGATAAGGATCTGTTTGCGGGTGACTTGCAGATGCTTTTCCTGGCTGTCCGTCATGCTACCGACATGTTTCCACAGAAGCCCGGGGCTGACAGAAACCGCACCGGGGCTTCTGGAGTGGTTCTTTTTTGGCTGCTGTATTTTCCCCTACATGCTGGGAAGGGAGCGCTGAGGTCGCTGGTGTTAATTGTTTGCGATCTGTGACTTTCTTTGCCACTAAATCTGACCCTGTGCTGCTTCAGGAAACGGATGACCGGACTCAAGTTAGACAACGACACACAGACTTGGCTAAAAGTGGGAATGGGAAGACTCTTGGGAGATGAAAGGCCTTAAAATCGAGACGCCGTGGTGTTAATGAGAGGCTCCCGGACGGGGCTGAGCGGGCGTAAGAATGCGGGGAACCGCTCCATTCCTCTGTCACCAGCTGGGCCTGGACCTTATAAGGAGTGGAGGGCCATTCTCCACGTGTTCTCCAAACACGGTTTCACCAACGATTACCCCAATCCGGCCGGCAGACAGAGGTCAACATCTGTCCGGCGCTGGCCCTTTCACACAAACCGCAACGTAATAAAGCAGGGATCAAAAGAACGTACGCACAACTGGACTACAATAGCGGCGGAGGGCAGCCTTTTGCCTCCGGGGGGGCGGGGGATTCAAAAGAATGTGATATCTACTCCCAGGCTTTGTCTGCCAGAGATACTGGATATGATCAAGGCTCCAGACCAGGAGACACTCCATCCCGGGTCTGGGCTTAGATTTGCCTTTGATGGGGCCTTTTTTATTGCCTCCAGGCACGTTTCTATGCTGTTCACGTGTTAGTTGGCCTTCAGATTTAAGGGGTGGGGGGGGGGGG